GGTATTAGTAGTTAGGTATTAGTAGTTAGTAGTCAGGTATTAGTAGTTAGTAGTCAGGTATTAGTAGTCAGGTATTAGTAGTTAGTAGTCAGGTATTAGTAGTCAGGTATTAGTATTAGTAGTTAGGTATTAGTAGTCAGGTATTAGTAGTTAGTAGTTAGGTATTAGTAGTTAGTAGTTAGGTATTAGTAGTTAGGTATTAGTAGTTAGGTATTAGTAGTCAGGTATTAGTAGTTAGTAGTTAGGTATTAGTAGTTAGTAGTTAGGTATTAGTAGTTAGGTATTAGTAGTTAGTAGTTAGGTAGTAGTAGTTGTAGTTAGGTATTAGTAGTTAGTAGTTAGGTGTTAGTAGTTAGGTATTAGTAGTTAGGTATTAGTAGTTAGTAGTTAGGTATTAGTTAGGTATTAGTAGTTAGATATTAGTAGTTAGTAGTTAGGTATTAGTAGTTAGTAGTTAGGTAGTAGTAGTTGTAGTTAGGTATTAGTAGTTAGTAGTTAGGTGTTAGTAGTTAGGTATTAGTAGTTAGGTATTAGTAGTTAGGTATTAGTATTAGTAGTTAGGTATTAGTAGTTAGGTATTAGTAGTTAGGTATTAGTAGTTAGGTATTAGTAGTTAGTAGTTAGGGATTAGTAGTAAGTAGTTAGGTATTAGTAGTTAGTAGTTAGGTATTAGTAGTTAGGTATTAGTAGTTAGTAGTTAGGTATTAGTAGTTAGGTATTAGTAGTTAGGTATTAGTTAGGTATTAGTAGTTAGGTATTAGTAGTTGTAGTTAGGTATTAGTAGTTAGTAGTTAGGTATTAGTAGTTAGTAGTTAGGTATTAGTAGTTGTAGTTAGGTATTAGTAGTTGTAGTTAGGTATTAGTAGTTAGGTATTAGTAGTTAGGTATTAGTAGTTAGGTATTAGTAGTTGTAGTTAGGTATTAGTAGTTAGTAGTTAGGTATTAGTAGTTAGTAGTTAGGTATTAGTAGTTGTAGTTAGGTATTAGTAGTTAGGTATTAGTAGTTAGGTATTAGTAGTTAGTAGTTAGGTATTAGTAGTTAGGTATTAGTAGTTAGTAGTTAGGTATTAGTAGTTAGTAGTTAGGTATTAGTAGTTAGTAGTTAGGTGTTAGTAGTTAGGTATTAGTAGTTAGGTATTAGTAGTTAGTAGTTAGGTATTAGTAGTTAGTAGTTAGGATTAGTAGTTAGTAGTTAGGTGTTAGTAGTTAGGATTAGTAGTTAGTAGTAGACTTGTTTATAACATCAGTCCATGTCATCCTGTTCTTGTAGCGCCTGTCGACGGCCAACGATGAGATCGTGGAGGTTCTGCTGTCCAAGCAGCAGGTTCTGGGTGCGCTCAGATTCATCCGTAGTGTCGGTACGATCACTTTTTAAAATTTTTTCTTCGGCCATGGTCCTGGAGTTGTGTCTTGACCCGGTTTGTCCCGGAGCAGGCAGCCATGACAACGTGTCGGCCCGGAAGTTCCTGGATGCAGCTCGGCAGACCGGAGACCAGATGTTGTTCTACACCGTGTTCCGGTCCTTCCAGCAGAGGAACCAGCGTCTTCGAGGAAATCCTGCCTTCAACCCCGGTCAGAACCCAAACCTGGTCCTTCCAGGGACACTTCAGAGCTTTAGAAGAGGGAAGGTTCTGCTCAGTTCATGTGTCAGGATAAAAGGAGCTTTAATGTCTGAACTGTTCGTCTTTAAATCGTCACGTCGTTAAGGACAGGTGTGTCATCATGTTTCAGGTGAACACTGCGAGGAACACGTCTCCCACTTCAAGCAGCTGTTTGGGGAACAGGCGCTGATGAAAGCTGCAACAGTCTGACCATCAGGGAGGGGTACACCTGATGTGGGCGGGGCCAAGGGCTGCACCTGTGACCAGCCAGCTGATCTGTAAATATGTGCATTTTGTAAAAAACAGAATAAAGACAAAAGCCTGGTTGTGTTGATTCACACCTTTCCTTTAATCTTTATTGCTTCTTCTTATTGGGGTGGATACATGTTGGTGTTTTAACAGTTTGGAGAAGATTGTGAATTAATGCTCTCTGATTGAGGTCCAGCACACTGACGTCCTCTGTCCGACACAAACACAGGAAAGATGGAGACGCTCTGTCAGCTGACGGCAGCTTCACAGTCAAGTGCTCAATGTAGTGATTTGACGATTTAAATCATGATCAAAAATAAAAAGCAAAAAGAATCAGGACATGTTTGGACTCAGGAAATCAGAACACGAGTTTCAAATAATGGATTGGTGACAGACCCTGAGAGCGAGATTAGATATCGTTTCATATGTGAGACACAATGGAGGAAGAAGAAATCATCCATAACTCAACCAATTAGATTAACATGCAAATAAAATAAACTAACCTAAAAGTCACCCTTTAACTGAACACATGGATTTTCACAGTTTTATATGCATTTATATGTCAGAGGAAAAATCAACTAAAATAAACAGAATCAACAGACCCAGACGGTCTGATCTCAAACAGGAAATCTAAATAAAGCTTTTGGGTTCTTATTGCTAGTCGGAGTCACACCGGCGAGTCCACAACACAAACCACCGGTTCCTCACAACGGTTCTGCAGCATAAATGTGATATTTTAATACATGGCTTCTTCTCATGTCATCATAGACACACACACACACACACACACACACCTGGGCTCCAAATAAATACATTTAAAAACAGTCCACGTGCATTCCAATGGAAGTCCAGTATTCATATGGCCGTACACAAACAAACAAACAAACACCCACAGAGCCAACAGGACAGAAACCAGTTCACCAGAGAGACGGACAGGTTCAAGAAACATCCCAAACTAAAGAAAACAACGAGATTTCACTCCTGACAACAGATTCATGTCTGACAGCAGCCATCAGCGTTAGCACCAATTATTTCCTCAAACTAAAACAAAACTCATCAAAAATATTCAAGAATCTTGTTCATTTTGTTGATAAACGCAGAGAAAAACCAAGCCTGGCCCAAGCTGTTAGCCTGTTAGCCGCGTAGCTTCATCATTTTAAACTTTTTACTCTTAAAAAGAAAATAGGTGTTTGATTTATTAAAAATATATATTTAGGATTGTTACAAATCTGAAAGGTAAAAAAAATATCCATTTATTTCACATTTCAGAATGCTAACACAGAAATTTAGCTTGTTAGCAACAAGTGACAGAATGCTAAATGATGTGAGCTAAAAAAGAAATTAACTGGAAAGTTAGCCAAAAACCAATAAAGCTTAAATCATTTTATTCTCCTCTAAAAAAAAAGTGGAGAGTTTAATAATATATATTTTTTGAACTGTTACAAAACTGACATCAGATGTAGAAATATTTAGATTTTTGCTGCTGGCTAACAGTGAACTGTTAGCTAACTGAGTTAGCGTCATCACTTTAAACACTTAATACGAACGTTTTTACAGAAGGCATAAAATATTTAAATTAATTCAGAAGAGTTACAAAACTGAATTAATGAGAACAAAATATTTTGTTTGCTTTCTTCCCCTGAATTTTAAAGTCTAATAGCAGCAAGCTAGCGTCTTAGCTGAAAGCGTTTTAGTTACACAATGCTAACAGCAAACTGAAATTGTCATTTTTAACCACGTTTCAGTATTTTCTTTCAAATATCTGATTAACGACTTCTTTACACGGCTGTTCATCAACTGTAAATTTGATTTCTGAAACATTTCCATTTATTATTTAGCAGTTTTGCGTTAGCCACCAGATGCTAAACCCTCTTTATTCCTGTTGTTTCTGGTTGTTTTAACTTGTAGTGGGAGCGGTAAACCCAGGCCGTCCTCTGCTGGTTTAGAGCGRGTTAGTAGTATCAACAGGAGGAAGTTGTTAGTTGTTTAACAGCAGCGTCAGGTCGGAGCGGACCGAACCAGAACCGACCAGCGCTGCCCTACAGTTCTGTTATCAGCCACTGAGGTTTCATTCAATCATGAGGTTGTRTGATATAAAAAATGTACAAGAAGCAAAATTACTTTCACACCAGAGAAAACAAACATCCAGACGTATTAGCATCCGTCAGAACCACTAACCCATCCTCAAAGCCTTCCTGTTGGACCTGACTGGTTGGGTTCGGGTACATTTAGCCCTTTTCTAGTATTTTTATTGTGCAGCAGGTTAATACAGTCAGGAACATAAATTAGCTCTTTCTATTAGAAAATTACAACTGATTGTCTTTAATGCTTCGAACCTTACGACCACCAGCTCTGAGGCCGACTACGTCTCCAAAGAAAGGCTAAGGCTAAAGCTAATGCTAAGGCTTTTAGCTGTTTGCACCCAAATGGACCGGGACGAGGAACAAGTCCCTACCAGGTCCAAACTGGACAATCAGTACTGAAGCAGATAACTCAAGATCCACTGATAATACTGAGCTGAATGCTAAGCTAGCATGAGCTGAGCYACCATGAGCTAACAGGCTAATGGTTCAGGCCAGCTGCTAGCTACAACCCAGCTTATTACGCTACGCTAAGCTAACCACTTCTATGATGAAGGAGAAGTTTTWAAATATTTAACAGAACTGAGTTATCCTTTAGCTGCTGTTGTCCAAACACAGCCGAAGCTACGTTGAAGAGTTAGCGCTGGCTAGCTCTGATTTGGCCCACAGTGGACACCAGACCTACGTGAGCCGCGAGGAAGACGTTGGATWTAAAGGGCAGAGCTGCTTCCACCTCGTTCGGTGGTTTCTTTACAAAAAGCTAAAGTTGAGGTAAAACTGAACCTGGGATTAATATTAGTGGCAGTACGTTAGCATGCTGGTGGCCCTGGGATTAACCAACACTAGAGGGCGACGACGACAGGCAGGAGTCTCTCACACACACACACACACACACTTTGATTTGTTCAGGTATTTAAAAATAATCCACAACAAGACAAGTCCCCGTCCCACACCTAAATATCATGCAGTCTCTGTACACTGGTGGAATCAGCTCCGGCTCGGTTCAGTCCGTCCACACAGGACTCCTGTTAGTCCACTTCCTGGTTTTTATCAGAGCCAGAGGAAAGACCAGCCAAGAGTTCTTCCAGTTATAAAACCTTCTGATGAGAAACCACTTTTACCTGCTGGTGAAGCAAAATATATAAAAAGAAAAATCAACAAAAAGTGTCTTCAGCTTCAGCTGCTGAACATCAAATATTCGGCTGCTTTCCACCGCAGCTCAGATTTAAATAGGAAGATCTGCTGAGGCTGCTGGTGATGTTCCAGTTTGTCTCTGTCCACGAGTTGATCATCAGTCCTCCAAACTCCAAACAACAACTAGAACAACGAGAAATCATTTTTCTTTTATCGCTCAAATAAAGACGTCCCCCTCACACACACAGAGAGGAAAGATGAGCTGAGGGGGCGGGGCTATTCTGCAGGTACAGATCATAGAAACTGAGGGGGGCGGGGCTATTCTGCAGGTACAGATCATAGAAACTGAGGGGGGCGGGGCTATTCTGCAGGTACAGATCATAGA